AGCGCGCGGGGGCGCGCGCTAGGTGGTGGCTCGTCGGTCGGTAGGGTCGGTGGGCCCCGTCGAGGCGCAAGGAGGCGGAGGGTTTGGAGGGTGGGTTTTGCTGTGGCAGGCGGGCCACCCTGGAAGGGTGCCGGGAGGTTATGACAGCCGAGGTATTGAGCGGATCCTTCGTTAAAAAAACGAGAAGCACCGTGCTGAGGCGCGTGGAACGGAGACAGAGAGGGAAAAAGGAGTGACTGAGAGAGAGGGTGAGGCTGAGAGGGAGAAAACGAAAGCGAGCGAGGGGCCGAGAGTGAGCGGGAAAGGAAGACGAAAAAGGAGGAAGAGAAAGAGCAAGATGTGCAGGCTAGATGGAACGAGAGAGAGAAAGACAGACCGAAAGAGAGAGGGAGGGAAAAAGGGAGAGAAATAGAGAGTGTACGATTGCCGCCGCCGCCGCCACCGTCGCCGCCGCTGTTGCTGCTGCTAGAGGCGGTGGTGGAGGTGGTCCAAGGGGTGAGATCAAGTAACCGAATCCAACGCACCCTTGCCTCGCGCCCATTGCCCCCCTCCCCACCCCCAACTGGGGAAAAAACCGAGTGCACCACCTCTCCCACTTCTCCTCATCTTCCTTCTCGACCACCCCTGACTGCTCTTCCCGAAGCAGATCTACCCTTCCTTCTCCTCGTCCTCTTTCTCCTTCTCCGCCGTCGTCGCCGCCACCACGCACTTCTATCTTCCTCGCTCGTCATTGAGTTTCTTTTACCTCGAAAAAAAAAAAAATTCACCGACTTCGAACGACGTTGTACGTCCACGGATCAAAAACCCCGGCAAGAAATCTTCCGATTCGACGAAGCTGCCCCCCTCCCCTCCTTCCGGCGATTCGACGCGTAGCAAGAGTCATTCGGGATTACACATACTTACTAGCTTTTGCAATTCATACATGTTTCGCTTTGTTCGTTCGGGCGGGCACGACCGTCGCGTAATGTAGTCCGATTACGAATGTAATTATTCCACTGACACATGCGAACCGATGAAACCGTGGGGGAGAGGGAGGGAAGATATTTCAATCGACGGGGACGATGGTTTTGCTTAATCGTGGTATCCGCTGGTTGGAAATTATTCGAATCAAAAATGCGAAGCAATGACACCGAAACGATAATTGATTTATAGAAGCAACCGGAATAATGGTCGTCACGCTGACACAAGCTGATCATCCCACGTCGAATTCAATTATAATTTTCGGTGTAAACGCGTTACTTATTGATCGTGATATTGTGCATGTCCAACCGTTGTTACGTGAATTTTGGAGGTAAACTCGCGGAACGATCTAGGCAATGATCCACGAGCAGACCGGAGGAACTGTTACCGATCGGAATACCCACTTCGACGTTACGATTACGTCCGTTCGAGACGGACAATGCGCCTGGACATCGGTGGAAAAGACGTTCGTGCGAAAACGGATAGAAAAACACGTACGGAAAAAGCCACGTAGATGTACTTAAAGAGGGAGAGAAAAATGAGAAAACCGGTAGAGAGAGGGAGGAGGGGGCAGAGGAGCAGGTGGGACAGGGGAATCGGGTCCGTTTGTTCGTCGTCGGAAATGCAGGCTGGACACGGAACGACAGAAAGCGAAGCGAGTGTGTGCGAAGCACTCCCTGGATTCACGTAATGGGAAAATCGATTAGGGAACCGAGCGGGTAAAGTAACCGTCCAAGATGCACGGATACACCGCGTACAGGTATATCAGCTCTGCTATCTAGGGAATTAAGCGTCTTGCGAAAAAAAAACCAAAGAACTTATAAACCTGCACATCCAAGGAGAAAATCCTTCGAGTAAAATCCTGAACTTGTTTTGCGAGGGAATCTGTCTTACGCTTAAAGTTTCATACAGGAAGAATCACCGAAATAGTTACAGACTCCTCTCGATTATTGTCCCGACCTCGGTTCCGCTCCAGGACAATAATCTTGTACGGAGAAACGCTTCAGACACTCGTAAATTCGTTTTTTGCCCACAGTGGTGGGGATAACGCCTGGACAATAATCGTGGAGAACAAGCCACACAATAATCGAGAAGAATCTGTAGAAAATTTACAGAAAATCGGAACAGAGAATGCTTGCGCGGTCGAGGAATACTTAATACACTAACCGCTCGAGCGTCTTAGAACTCCGACCACTCCAAGAGGTACTCTAAGAGTCTAGTCACTTTTCCCTCGCCCAGCATGCCCGCGGAGGTTCAATGACATCGGTAGAAGCTCCGTGCACACGTACACATACACGAAGGCTTGTTACACCGAGCCAAAAGTAGAACGCCTGGCAAAAGCATTCTCATTTTCTTTTCAACAACTGCCGACCGTTTACAAACTGTTCGAGGAAGGGGTTGGCAAGGAGTTTGTCGATGATATTGTACTCTAATTGTTACGTTCAAAGACCAGACTTTCGTGGGGGTCGAAGCGTAAACAGGGGTCATGGGAAATGTGGAACATTCGTGAAACCGCAAAACCAAAGAATCCCATACGTCGCTCCGGTACTGGTTTCGCGTAGGCTTACTTACGGAAGAGTATCCAATCGATCTTCCAGCGCCACTGGCAATCGTCGTGCTAGACCACAGGTAGCTACTATTCACGGAGTGGCGACCGCGCGCGGACGGAATATCAACACCGGGAATCAAACGCTTTTAACGAACACTGCCGCCACTCCGATTTTGATCACCTACATCATACGACATATCCAACCAAATGCTATCGATCATGTTCCCTCTTCATAAGCAGATGAAGATCGATCCCGACCGCTAACCACCAGGCCCGCGTTTACACCGCGTGAATTATCAACCCACAGGCGGGCGTTAGTTCGCGGAAAATGTACGGGGCCATCAATGGTGGACAGGATCGAGAGCTCGTTCGTATTGAATAGCAACAACATGGGCGAACATTGATGATATGTTGCGAAATATGTAGGATCGAAAAGTTACTCAGACGGTGAAACATTCGAGAGGGAAAGTGTTTCTCCGCGAACAAATACTATTTCGCCCACGGCGTCAACAATTAACCCTGATTCTCAACTGTCTTATCTCTCTACACCGACCACTATTCCCCACCCCCATCGTTACACTGCCACGTGTATCCGGGGGTGTTGCTCCCAAAGTTTCGTGGAAAGGCAGCGAACAAGAAGAAAGAGAAAAGTTACCAAGAAGAACAAGAAAGTTTGGCGGACGTTTGTGTAAGCGAGAAAGAGAGAGGGAGAATAAAATATAAAGGCAATTAGAGGGGATGTTTGATTTTCGGTGACAAGGAGAAAGTTAGGGGCGCTATTAGAACGGATGGGGTATCTCTCTCGGCAACGAAGGCGATGGAGCGGAGGAGTTTCGCGATGAACGCGAGAGAATCAAGGGGCTGGCAAGGTAGGACACTGGAGATCGTAGCAGGGTGAAGGGGGAGGGGGAGCGCGAGGATAGAGGCAACTGAGAAGGAAGGAGGTGAACGACGGCCGAGAGGGGAATAGGGCAAGTAGAAAGGACGAGGGTGTCCGCGGGGGTGGATGAAAGGACGCTTACCAGCTACTACCTATTGATCGCCAATTCTTTTTCTCTTGTTGCATATTAGGCGCACTCTGCGTCCTCTCTCTTTCTCTCGGCGGTACGCTCTCCCACCCCCTTGGCGGTGTAGAGCGCGCGAATCCGCCCCTATAGCTACCCTCCGACCACCCTGCGCGCCTCTTCCTCTTCCTCTTCCTCTTTCTCCAAGTGCGAACCACCCCTACTACCTTCCTACCTACACCATCGGCCCTGACGTTCTTCTTACCGGCAATGTTTCATTTCGAGTAGCAGTACCCTTTCTCTTTCGGGGTGGGGCCGGTATCCTTTTTACACACAGGTGTCACCATCTTCCCTCCGAGTATAATAGCTATTCGTCGCCGTGCGTTCCTTCGTAACCGGCTACGAGAATTTCACTTCCGACGTGGAACAATGCCGTAGTATTTATCGATCGAGACGATCCGATCGCGGATAGGATCGGTAGGAATAATTTCGTTTATCGATGTTTATATGTAAATCAAGACTAACGATCGTTTTCTTTCTTTTTTCTGTTCGTTTGCTACAGGTGACCGTCCAGTTATACTCGCTGCCAAGGAGTCCCCCCCCCCCGTGAAACAAGCTCGGTGGGGTGAGCGTTGGAAGGCGGAAATCGGTCCGGTGCGATAGGAGATCGACGCGAGGGAGGAAGTAAACGAGAAGATTTGCCGTCGGCAACAGACTGCACACACTTGCAACCGCGCACAGGGCGCAAGCGTGCACGTGTGTGTTGTGCGTTCCCGGGTGCCCTAACCCTGTCTCAGCACGAGGGAGTAGTCGTTTCGCCGCGTTCCCATCCCTACGACACCGCCAGCATCGCCGCCGTTGCCGCCACCGTTATCGCCACCGCTATCATCGCCACCGTCACCGCCGCTGCTGCCGTTTGCTCGCCGTCCATCCGACGTACAAGCACCGCCGCGACCGACGTAACGACGCCGGCAACGACGACGGCAACGACGACGACGACGACGACGGCGACGAGGACGACGAGGACGACGACGACAACGACGACGAAGACGACGAGGACAAGGACGAGGAGGAGGGGGACGAGGACGAGGACGAGAACGAGAAGCATTACAACGACGAGGAGGAGGATCAACGGGATCCCACCATCCGCCCCCGACGACTTTGGACGTTCCTGGCGCGCGATACGTCACGCGTGACGTCGTAACCGGCGCGCACGTTAAAGCGGCAAGTTGTTGCGAGCGTACACGCTACTTATCATCCGCCCTCGCGTCCTCCTCGCGCGCGGATCGCCGTCACACGCGTTCAAGGCGCCCCGTTAAACGACATAGAAACCCGCCACACGGAGGACAGAAGCACGACGACGACGAGGACGACGAACGGAATCGTCGAGAGGGGGAAATCGAGAAAGCCGGTCAACCGAGGGAAGAAAGAAGAGGAAGAACAGGACGAGGAGGTGGAGGAGGAAGAGGAGGAGGAGGAGGAGAAAGAGGAGGACGACAACGGCGACGGCGAGGACGACGACGAGGACGGAGGACGGCCGGCGACGACGGAGGGGGTGGATATCCACGCGGGAACACGAGGCAGGCGCACCCGGCCGGCACGCACACACACATATTCTAAGATGTGATTTCAAAAATGGCGGATTGCCCCTATGCCCGCTGCATACAGGAACGCAGACACATCCGACGGGAGCTGCTGCGATGGACAAAGAATATGGTCTTCGTAGTCGGTGAGTTGAAACGGTATATCTTTCTAGGCCATGTACCGTTCCCCGTTCCGAGCAAATGCACGCGTATTATATCGTTAGAACGAGGCCCCCGGACCGTGATTTTTTTATAAATTGTTTCCCCCTCCCCGTCCTCGCGACGAACCCTCTGATTTAGGGTAAATCAGGAAGAGATGGACTAAGTTTTTTAAAATGTCCGAATATCGAATATTTTTGAGATAATTGATATTGTACTCGATGGTTTGGGTAGTGCATGATCTTTTGAATTGAAAATCAATTTTTGGACTCTGGTCCAAAGCTACTTGGCTAAATGAAAAATCTCTTTGTAAAGGCTGAAAAGATTGATTGTAATTGTATTTAGTTAAAATTTAAATAATGTCGATTACACTAAAACAGTGTGGTTGAGATAAAACGAGCGGTCCATCTCTACCGAATATATGTGGTTCATTTATCCCTAATCGTAAGGGATAGATGGACAATGTATTTGCACCATTGTGATTGTTTCGAACATCATTGTTCGAGGTTAAAATTAGACGTATATGTCATTGAAACGTAGTTTACGAAGATGGCACAATCATCTCCTCAAACAACAGAGAGATTCTATTTTTTTTTTAATTTTTGCCCATACCACAAATTAAAATGCTGAATTTTTTCAAATTTTCTAAATCTTCGATATCAGGTTTGCTGACGCGCTGAATAACTTCCATTAAAACAAAACAGTACTAACAGGTGGCGTGTTTGACGTATAATTTATGAAATACAGTTCTGGTCCGTCTCTCCCACTGGTCCATTTCTCTCGGACTTAGCCTATCGCGTGTTCTGTGATGCACACGAACATTGCTTGGCGAAAATTGCACCGGTGAAATCGGCGGTAGGACAATATTTATCATAGTTTTCCGTTACGAGCAATAGGACGTGATCGCGAGCCACTCGTATGTTCCGCGTGGCGATTCTCCGAATATGTTGGAGGGATATACATATACAGTCTGTTTCACAAGAGCGTAAGAACGATATCTGTAAAAATAATTTTTCAAAAATTATAGCGAATATGATTGTTTAAATCTCAGTATATAAACATATTTAATGAACATCGATGAGGTATTTGTTTTAGTTGGAACTTAATAGTATCTTTAATAAGGTAAAAGAATTTCTGTTTGATGCCAGTTTTTGTAAAATAGATAATCAAAATCTATATTTGCATAAAGATCCGCAGTCTATCAATAACGCGTCGTAGTGTTTTAGATGTACTACAAGCCCGTTTTCAAATTTTTTGCAAAATATCAATTATTTTTTCAGATATCGTTGCAACGCTCTTGTGAAACAGACTGTATACGTATAAATGCAAGAGCGTGAGGCGACTAACTCTGTGGGTGTGTTAAAGTTAGAGATATATACATACTATGTATGTACATACACATAGTATATAGAGCGAGACAGAGAAAGGGAGGGTGATCGGGCGAGTGGAAGGATGGCGAGAGGATGAGGGTTGGAAACGAGAGAGATAGGGGTCAGAGAGGGGCAGAGGAAAAGATAGAGGGAGAGGGAGAGAGAGAAGCAACGCCGGTGGTGAGACCTGTTGCGAACCGAAACGCCGAATCCTGGTTGACTGTGAGCCAGGCGTGACTCCTACTCGTGTCCGTACGTTCAACAGGGTGGTTGCATGCTGTCGAGAAACATAGCGATATTTCGCGCGTGTGCCTTGCTCCGTGCATTGGTAAATTTTACGATCTTTTTCGCCTCTCTGTGTACTTTCCACGGAATATTTTCAGTCCCGCTGTTTCACTCGCCGAATCGATTTGCTGGTATCCCCAACGACGCGCCCCGCATACGACGAGAGTTATGAAGCTGATGAGAGTGTCTTTCGACGTATGAATTTGCAATCACAAGATTTTTCCATTAATTTACCATCTTAAAGGGTACATTTTACTGATTCCATTCGAGGTTAAATTGCAGCTATTAATCGAGTCCATTCGAAATTTGCGACAATAAAAAATCTAACGATACAATCAAGTTCGCACATTTACACTTGTACGCCGGCGCCCTCCCCGATAACCGCCACCGCTACCACCACACGGAAGTAAAACACCGGGCATCGAATAATACAGCGCCCAAGCTGCTATGCCTTGACCACAGACAACCACCAAGAGCTATCCCAGCCGCCGCCCGAAACCTTCTTTTCTTCTTCTTACTTCCTCCCTTCGTCCTTCTCCCTCCTTCGCGATCCACATCCCCCTGTTACCCGCTCTCGTCGTCGCTCTACAGCCCCCACCATTGTCCTCCCACTCCCCCTTCTATCCCTCCTTCAGCCTTCGGGTTAGTCCGTCAAGAGAAGTCTCTCTGCTACTCGTAGAAGGCGCGTTTCCACGCGCGCTGCTGTTGCGTGCACTCGCCGTTACGCTTCTTCCTCCACTTTCGTAACCTCACCCTTCGTCCCTCCTCCTTCTCCGCCTTCTCCTCTTCCTCCCCTACCTGTGCTACACCCTCCTTTCCCGTTACCTTCATCCCCCGTCAGCCTCGCTTCGGTGTCCCTACCTCTCTCTGTCTCTCTCGTCTCGTTCGCGTCTCTCCTTATTTCGGAACGCAGCTGCCGCTGGTGGTCGAGATATTTTCGCGAGTCCTTCCCACCCCCCTTATTCCCGCCACCTCGACGCCCTTCCTCCCAAACCACCCCGTCCTTCGATTTCCTCCCCCGAAACCACCCCCCGTGTTCCTACGTTTTTTTTCCTCGCGATCGGTTCTCCTACTCTGCCGTGAAGATTCTAAAAAGGGAAGGTGGTGGTGGCGGTGATGGTGGTGGTGGTGGTGGTGGTGGTGGTGGTGGTGGTGGTAGTAGTGGTGGTGGTCGCCTCGAGAAAAGGCGAAGAGAAAGCGGAAACGAGAAGGGTGTGCAGGAGGCGCGAGCAAGAAAGCCGAGGAGCCGCGTGTGTGCGCGTTTCAGACCTCTCCGTCGCCGACGCCGCCGTCGCCGCTGGCGTACTACTCCTCTCGAGACTTCCATGATCTTCGGAGATCGACCAGTTCGCGTTTGGGAAAGGGTGACGGAGGGTGGAATGGCTTGAAATCGAGCCACGACACACGAGTGCCTGTAGTGCTTGGTGCAAGCGCCAGTGCCGGTTCGGGTGACTGTTTCGGGGGCCCGCGAACGTGCACTTCCGACCGTGGTATTCAAGTGTTAACGACGAGATATTCCGGGAAATAATATCGTTTTGGTGTGTGTCACAGTGTTTGTATGGTGTTACCTGGGAATTTTCTCAAACGTGATCGCGATCCCAATCCGATTAAACGAGTCTGTGAACGAATCGCGAGACTACCCATCCTCGCGACATCAGCCGCTATCGCGCGACCTGTTACGTTTTGCACGTGTTGCTCGACACACAGGCAGTGCCGCCCCACGCGAGATGATCGATACCAGCCGCGTGGGATTTTCGGGAAATTTTCGTGCGTGAAAATTTCTGTCGCCCGCCCGTCACGTAATTCAACGTCCCCGGTTGGATTATTTGCACGCGTAATCCCCCCCCCCCCCTCCTCGCCCGGCGAGATCATTCCGTGGCTGTCAAGCATGGAACTGGACGTAACGAGACGATGCACGTTTCCACCGACGACTCGACTGATCGAACCGAGACACGTTGCGATACGTTTTCGCCACGGACCTTTCGCACGTTTCGATCAACGGCAGTAACGATGCCCGCGTGCAACAGCCCCGCGAGAATCTCGCATCGCCGTACGATAAGGAACATTATTCGGAACAAGAAGACGTAAACGCAGAGTACGTATAACGGAGATTCATGCTGTTAGAATCGACGATTAACAGTTTGATCGCGTGACAGACGCGTGTGTACAAAGAAAATTCGCGTAGCATCCACGTGCACGTCTGACAGTGTCTGTTCTCACCTTTCGAATGAACGTTCTTTTTTTTTTTTTTTTTTTTTTTTTTTTTTAATTAAATCAAAATCATTCTCCCCGCGCATCGAACCACGGTGCAACGGTCGAAAACCGCATCAGACACCCAGTACAATTTCCATCCTTTCAAACCAAAGAACTCCGAAACCAAAAAGTTTCTTCACGTGCTCTGGGCGTTCGTTCGTTGCATCGAGCAAGATAAACGAACACTTTGTAAAGTACATTTTTCCGCTCTTTTCCCCATTGTGCCCACCCCCGCATCCCTTCGCGAAAACGCTCGCCTCTAAGGCGCAAGAGAAGAGAAGAGAGGGCTTAGGGGATGGGGGAAGGAAAGGACAGGAGGATGAGGAGGAGGAGGATTGTTCGGGTGGGTGCAGTTACTGCTGATCGTTAAAAGGCGCATAAAAAAAGGTCGCGAGAGAGGGGGTGGGGGGTTGGGAGGGGGTGGCGAGAGGAAGCAGCGCGAGAAGTAACAATAAAAATTCGTGGGCATTCGTGTTTCGTCGTCCGAGAGGTAGGAGCGAGACGACGAAGGGGGCGAAACGGCGGTAGGAGAAGCCGAAGGAGATTGCGGAACTGGAGGGTGCGGGAGGAGTAGTGTTAAAGGAAGGGGCGAAAGGGGCAAGAGGGTGCAGCGGAGGCGGGTGACGGTGCAAGCGCATCGGGTAGTGGAGGGTTGCGGGGCACGAGGGTGGAAGCAGAGGATGGGTATGGCGGAGCCAGGGTGCGTAATGAAACGATATTGAGTAGCCGTGGTAGGGAGGTTCGTGGCGAACGGTGGGGGTCGTCTTCGGCCCTCTCCGTCGATTGACCTCGCTTCGACGAGGCGAGGCTTGGCGAGCGTAGGGGTTGCGAGGGGCAGGGAACGAAGTGAGACGAGGGCGAAACGAGGGTGGGGACGAGTGGCACACAGGGGCGGACGCGACAAGGAAGGTGCCTCGGTGGGGGACGAAATACCGAGCGATCGTACGTGGTCGATTGGGGGGGAAGAGAGGTTAAATTGTCGAAAATGACGCGCGGCACCTTCTTTTTCTGTCTTTGCTTGACCGCCAACGCCTTTTGAAATGCTTCTCGAAAAGAAAAAAAAACTTCGATGCTACTGT